AATCTCTTAACAGTTTTTACTCATATTGAAGAGAGATGAATAGTATTTTATCACCCTAAAACGATATTTAAAATGGACCGTAAAATATATTACCTATATGAAGAAAAAGAATAACTAGTAGTAATTGGTTTCTTCGTTTGCAAATGTTGACTTTGTGACCCATATATTGGTGGCAAAACTAAAAAAGAGCAATAAAGAAATAAAAAGTGTGTGAATGACTCGGTATTATTAATGGGGTAACAAATACGATAGCCATGCATTTCTTTACGAATTACTTCATTCACAAGAATCAACCAAGCTAAGTTTTGAATTGGGATCAACAAGGTTTGTGGTGGAATAGTAAATATTATTTTATTATTAACTAAAAGTCCCGGGTCAAGTTTTAGATATGAAATTGCTTTTATTAGGATCGCTTTATTCTTTAAATATGAAACTTTTCGATGCGATCTGTATTTAATAAGACTACAATACAAATATCGAACATCAAATAAAAAATAAAAAAATTTAATTGAGGAGAAAAAAAGTCTACTAAGTAAAATAGGATTGCACTCAAAAGGAGGACAACTCAAAATCATTGGGAATCCGAACTATAAGAAGCACATGCAAAGTTGGTAACATATACAGAGATAAAGCACATTCCTTCTTCTCCACCCAACTCTTCAAGTGTTATCCATTCTGATGAATAACATGGTGATCAAATCTCCCTCCCATATTTTCTGGATTTTGGGATCTGTGCAACTGCAGAAATAATATATATATATATATATATATATATATATATATATATATATATATTAAAGTTATTGAGTTCAGTTGAACTCATAACCTTTTAGCTACACCCACCTTTCTGCATTTGTTTATTTTCAAAAAGAGTATAATACATCTCTTAAGAGTGGATAGCATTAATTATAAAAGTATTTTGTTTAAATAAGCCTTGATCTCTTTTTTAACTGTCTGGCTTAATTAACCTTACACTAACTGACACGGTAATAACATACTTGATTTTTTTTAATGATGTTTTGAAATAAATTCAATTTGCCAAAGCTACTAATATTTGGATTAATGGAAGTACAATTTGTCAGCTTCACCCTAAACGTGGCTAAATCAGTTAATTATTTAATTTATCCACTCCAATTTTTTTAATCTTCTCCTTTGCGTCTTCCTTAAATAACCCACCAGGATCTTACCCACTCTTACTTTTGCTTAAGATTGACTCATTGGCACGTCTCATTGCTCGGGGGCGTATGCAAAATCTTTTTGTAAGTGGTATCGATATTTATAGAAGAGCGAAGAATAAATAAC